ATCTTAGGCCTTGTTTACTTGAAGGGATTGGATAAGGTGGGATAGGATGGTTTAATCCCATGAGTCAGCTTTTGTCTCATGAGTTAGTTTTACTAAATTTGTAATTATTTGGATATTCAAGGGTATAATGGACATTGTACATGTAATTTTTTGTACAAAAATGTCATTTTTGTGTTGGGATGAAAATATCCTACCCACAAGATGTGATAGTATTATCCTGCCAGTCATTGGTACAGGCGTGTGCCCACTTGCCACATACATGACACATAAGATTTATCCCAATCCAGATCCCTACTAGTAAACACCGGATAAGGTTCGTTAAGGAATGTTATCTCATCCTATCCTGGTAAGTAAAAAAGACCTTATGAAATAAAATACATAAATCTTGAGTTTTATCTCTTTTGTTTTCTTAATAAAATAAAATATAGAAATCTTGAGTTTTATCTTATTTGTTCTCTTTCGTACACGTCGCTACGTCATAATTTATATTGGGAAATTAAAAGGAAAAATAAAACAAATATGAGGCTTGTGAGAACTCGATATCACTTAAAACATTTTCGTCTGAATGGGCATCCATTTTCTAAAATTCAACATAAATAACTGAATTAATTACGGCGAATTGGATTTACGCTTGAACTTATTGTTAGTGCCTTAGAAGAGTTTGAGTTAAATTTCTTGTCTCGTAAAATAAAAGTTCACACTTTTGGTACAAGCATAACTAGAATGCATATGTTACGCTTCATTTAATTGGTCTTCAAATATATGAAGAAGCCATTACTTTTTCCCCTATTTTTTTCATTTTCTCACATTCAATCTCTATTTCCCCTCTTTTTTTCATTTTCTCACATTCAATATCTGTCGTTCCGAAAAAAAAAATCATGCATTGAAGAGTTTTTTTTTTCCAACTTCAAAGAAAATGCATTAAAACTCAACCAAGTCTTATAACCNAGAAAATGAAGGCACAAGTTCCAGGATATCAGCAACCAAGGTGTTGCAACAACAGTCAAAATGCTGCATTTTATTGTTGAGCTTCGAGACTAGTCTTCGATTTTTTATTCTGCAGCAACAATGTCTCCATTCTGCCTGGATTGCCTTGATCATAGCCCACCTTAAAGCTTCTAGTTCCATGCCCTCCTTGCAGCCACTGTACCAGATGTTTGTTGTCCACTCTTGTGAATCTTCTCTCTCCTTCTCAGCAACACAAGACATCTCCAATTGGTCCAAAGCAGAGTTAAAGGCACCGACATTGAGAACCCAATGTCCTACCTTCCTGAAAAAATCCTCCTCTTGAACAAAATTAACCTGTGAGCTTGTGTTGTGATCTCTCCTGCACTTGGTCTAGATTTCAGTGTATTCAATCCACTCTGCCCTTTCACCCTCAACAATCTTTCTTTCACTCACTCTTTGCTTTTTTAAACACCCACACATTTCTTGTTTTCCAGCGCACCACAAGATATAAGAAGAAAGGCTAGCTTTGTCCTTAATACTACTCACCTGTAGTGCACTACAAATGTCACCCCACCATTCTCTGAAAGTAGGATTAACATTATTAAAGCAACTCCAGGTCACACCACCCAGTTTCCAAACTGGTTTGGCTCTGATACAACTGAATAGTATGTGATCAAGATCCTCAGCCTCCATCAAAAAAAAAAAAAAACAGGTGTTGTCCTCAGTCAGCTTCCTCTTGACAAGCTGGTCATTGGTACTAATGTACTTAGACCAGCATCTCCAAGGAAAGTATTTGATTTTGTTTTCCACAGGTAAATTCAAAGTAACTCTTCACACTTGATTATGAACATTACACCCCAAACTAGAAGTAGCAACCCCCTATGCATCAGCAATTTGGCCACCAAAGCCTCATATGTTGATTTGACACTAAACTGCCCAAATTACCTAAAAAACCAAAAAACTTTATCCTTTTTTCCCACCATGGAAAGAGGAATTTTGAGAATGAGATCAGCTTCCTCTGGGATAAAGGTCTGTCTCACTAACTCTCTGTCCCACAGCCCACTCACCTCAGAAACTAAGTCACTCATCCAACAAAAATTATTCCTGTCCTCAGCAAAATAATAAATGGGTATGAGATTGATCTCTCCAAGGAGCCAAGGATGCTCCCACACGGATATATTATGCCCATCCCCAACTTGAAATGTAACACCCAAATTTTAAAAAAACTCAAAACCCCCACCCAACTTTTCCACAACCAAGAATCCCCATTCTTAGGCTGAGCATCAAACAAGCTAATCATGTGGAAGTACTTCCCTTTGAGGACCCTATTGATAAGAAGATTTGGATGAGTAAGAACTATCCTCAATTGCTTAACCAGATGAGAAACATTGGACAATTTCAGGTTTCTGAATCCCAACCATCCCTCAGCCTTTGGCTTTGCCAAATCATCCTAGTTAATCGAGTGAGTTTTGTTCCCACTATGATCATTCTTTATCCACCAGAAGTTTGTAACTGTCCTGCAAATATCCTTGTAGATACTTACAGGGAGTTGAAAGTAGGACATCACATAAGTGGGGAGGGCTTCAATAAAAGATTTAATAAGCACCTCCCTCCCAGCACAACATAAAAAGTAATTTTTTTAGCAAGACAATCTATTAATGACACACTAAGTAACATACTTAAAAGTATCCCTCTTAGATCTACCAATACCTAGGGGAAGACCAAAGTATTTGGAAAAACTCACACACAAGATACCATTCAGTAAGTTACAGATTCTCACTTTGGAATTGTAAGAAGTGTTCTTAGAGAAAAATATAGAAGACTTACTCATGTTAACACATTGACCAGAAGCAGATCCACAACAATCAAGAATATGCAGAATAAGCTCAACATGATACACATCAACATTACATAACAAAATAGTATCATAGCGACAAGAGATGAGAAATAGGAGAAGTAAACCTAATAATTTAAAAAGGGCTTGATGGATCAAGTTAGACAAATCTTCTGACTGAATGATAAACAAATAAGGTGAGATAGGATCTTCTTGTCTTATACCCCTAGTAGGTTTCAGAAAGCTAAGGGCCTGACCATTAATGCTGAATGAAAAGGAGGTTGTCTTTAAACAAGTATATATCCAAGACACAAAAATATCAGAAAAACCCGTCTTCCTACACACTTTAATCAGAAAACTCCATTCCACTTTGTCATATGCCTTGGCTATATCCAATTTAACAACCATGAGACACTTAGACCCTTTCCTTTCGCTATTAAGATGATGAAGATACTCATTAGCTAGAACAACATTATCTACGATTCGTATCCTAAGCACAAAGGCAACCTGGGAGTTATTGATGCAATGACTCAAAATAGTTTTCAGCTTATTTGCAATGAATTTAGATATGATTTTGTAGACGACAGTGCAAAGTGCAATAGGTCTAAATTCAGAAACAAGTGTAGGGTTGGACATTTTGGGATCAAAGTGAGGACAGTATGATTCAACCCTTTTGGCATTTTACCAGCTTCAAAAAAATTCACAATGGCTTCACACATATGCTTCTTAATAATAGACCACCAAGATTGAATAAATAAAGTAGTCATGCCATTTATGCCAGGGCCTTTAAAAGGTTCCATTTCTTGAAGGGCCACAAAGATCTCCTCTTCAGTCACAACACTAGTCAACTTTTGATTCATATCAGCATTAATAGACACATGAATACCATTTAAATCACAAGCATCTAACTCAAGTTGAGAAGAACAAAACACTTTATGAAGACAAGCCTCTAATTCAGCAATGATTTCATGTTCAGTCGAACAACTTCCCCAACTAGAGTTCACTAGATTTTTAAGATTACCCACTTTTCTTCTTTGCTGAACAAAGGCTTCGAAATATTTAGTGTTCTTGTCCCCTTCATTTAGCCACTGAATCCACTTAGCTCTCCAATAGTTTTTTTTTTTCTTATAAATAAGCCTGATGAAGTTGATCTCTCACTTATACCACTCTCTCCAGTCTCTATCTCCCCCAAGATTTTCCAGATTTCTGAGAGCAATGTGACAAGTTTCAATCAGTTTAGCTAAGTGGCCAGGATTTTCTACCAACCTAACAAGGCCATTCTCACATTCCTAATTCTACTTTCGATGCTAAACAATAAAGGACCACTCACTGACAAGTTCCAGGCCTTCTCAACAACATTGAAACCCTCCATGAGCCATCTTGCATCAAACACAAATCTTTTGGGTTTGAAAGTCAATGTACAATCACTATCCAACACCAGCATGCTGTGGTTAGAGGAGATTAAAGAAATGTGCTTAACTAAAGCATTAAGGAATTGAGACAACCAACTCTGAGAAAAGAAGATCCTATATAATTTGGCTTTAATATACTCATCCCCTTATCTGAGGTTAGACCAAGTGAAGTAATGATCAAGAGTTCTGGTCTCACACATTTCCATAAAACTAACAAACTCCCTAAAATTTGGAAGCTAGCCAAATCCCTAGTTCTATCCCCAGATTTATCTTGATTAGACAGAATGGCAAAAAAATCTTCCCCAAAAAACCAGACATCCCGTCACTGGTCTTTAAGACTAGCCAAAACATTCCATTTCATGCTTCTCACCTCAGAGTCAGTGCTGGAATACGCAAAAACACCCCATTGAATGAGGCCACTCCCTGAAATTCTAAACTTGACACCAATGCAAAAATCAAAACAAACATAATCTAAGACAATGACCTGACTAGCCCAACACTTCAAAAGACCACCCATAGATCCAGAAGGTTTGCAATACAACCACCTATTATCTAATTTCAACTTTTTACACACAGAGGAAACAATTTTTTCTTTTTCCTTAACTCCAGAAATAAAAGTTAAAGCTGGGAGGTGAGCTCTGAGAGCTTCTCGCAATTGGAAAATTGTAGAGGGTCTTCCCAAATCTCTACAATTCCACACACGTACCTTCATTTTGAACATTGGGACCAATTAGGGCTGGTCTCCTCCACCACTGAGTTCTCATTATCATCATAAGTTTTCAATTTTTTCTTAATCAAACCACTATTTACAAAATCAAGATTATCTTGAGAACAATCCCCCAAGCTTCTTTTATGTAAACCTTTTTAGAATCAGGAATATCAGCAGACACATTAGAAACCTCAATAACCATATCATCTGGGACATTTGGATTAGCATTTTTAACCTTTCTAGCCACAATTTTCCTCCTTTTTTGAACAACCTTTTGCCCTATTGAAACTGGTTGTATTGCCACCTTAACTAAATGTTCTTCAGAATCAAAAGTAGGAGACACAATCAAGGTTAGTTCATGAGGTAAAATAGCAGCAGTGCTTGCAGCCTCTTTTCCAACCTCAGAACTACCACAAACCACTACCAACTCAGCCCCCTATCTTGAGGCAAAGAGGAGGACACACCTCTTAATGAGGTATCACCATCATCCTCTCCCTTACTGCTAAGCTCAACTTCCTTGTTGGAGGTTTTTTTAGAAGCGCCAGCACTTGTGCCTCCAGTCTCAGTAGACCTGAAACTTTTTGACTCACTATAAAAGTTGGAACTGACTCTCAACCACTCACTAAATTGCCCTAAGTTAATAACATTTCTAGATAAATTCTCTTTTTTAATATGACGACTTTTGTCAACACGTCCAATTAAACCACAGTAACAACAGAATGATTGGACGTTTTCATACCTGAAATCCACCCACCTAGTTTTTTGGCCAAGTTTTAGATTGGCTCCCCTGAGTATAGCATCTTTTAGCTTCAATTCCACTTGAACATTAAGTATCAGTACATTAGGACTGGCTGCTCCTGGGACAAGAACATCAGTAACTTTTCCTATCAACCTTCCAATCTTTAATACAATTTCTATTATAAGCCAATGGAGCGGAAGATTATGGACTTGAACCCGTGTCTTATTTTTTCATCTTCCTCTGAGAAATTGTGGAATTCTGGGCACCATTCTTTCACCAATAAATACTAGCTGCCAAACGACCAAGTCTTACCTTGCAATTTTGTCCTTATCCTTTGCTAACTTGAATATAATGGAACAGATTCGGCCCTATGTTGCGAATTGTGAATTGCTTTTGGGTCACCTATATGTTACTCAGAGTGGATTTATGTCCACTGAAGTTGACCTTCTTTTCGCCAAAAATTCTCCCTATCAAGCTCAGTTGACATTCTTTCAATCCAGGCACTATATCTTCTTCTATGATCTCCAACCCTTTTTCCTCTTTCTCAGACAGTCTGAAATTTTTCAATTTTTCGGCCAGATCTTCCTCCATGGCCTTCGGGGAAACGAAATCTTCCAGGGAAAAGATGATGACAGACCCCAATAAACAGAACAAGAAAAAGAAAAGAGAGACAACAAAGAAAAACAAAAGGCAGAAGGCACGAAAGACTCTCTAGACAAACCCTAGAACTTCTAATTTACAAGTACACGAGATGCGAAAACATTGAGAACGAAGAAATCATAAGAGAGAAAGAGCAGGATCGAGCACCCCTAAGAAGAAAATCCAAAGAGAGAATCGAACTCAAGGAACTGTACCTCACAAGAGGAATAATCTCACAAGGAGAACTTGGGCGGTTAGATGTAAAGAAAGAGTTAAAATTCCTACCACAACAATTCACTTCATATGTTTATTTTTCTTTCAACAGTTTTAATGTCATATCATTAGTTTTAATCAGTTTTGCCATGAAGCCAACAATTGACTCCATAGTTGAACCAACCTTCTATATACAACAAGTAAACCATACCATATTCTCTGGTTACTTAAATAATACTGATAGTTTTATTAATATGGTATGATCTACTTGTTGTATATAGAAGGTTGGCTCCACTATGGAGCCAACTATTGGCTACATGGCAAAACTGTTAATCAGTTTTGCTATGAAACCAACAGTTGAGTCCATAGTGGAACCAACCTTCTATATACAACAAGTAAACCATACAATATTCTTTGATTAGTTAAATAATACTCATAGTTCTATTAATATGGTATGATTTACTTGTTGTATATAGGAGATTGGCTCCACTATGGAACCATACAATTATTACTTAAATAATACTAATAGTTTCAGTTTCATTTTTTTATTCACATGTCATCGGCTCTCCTTAAATCTCAACAATAGTTCAACATAAATATAACTCATTCTTTAAAAACTAATCCTGATAGATACTATCAAACTTAAAAATTATCTCAACCCACTGTTTGTGATTCCAATTAAAAAAATTTGCTATATTTTATGAAGAGATACAATATCAAATGCATAAAAAAAAGGACATACATCTTTGATATCTTAACATATTATTTTTATACTAATCAATTAACAGAGTTGTTTCTTAAAAAAAAAATCATATTACATCTTTCATTTATTTAATCTACCGATTGATTTACTACCAAAATTATTATATCTTAGCATATTTTTTTATACTAACAATCATTAAACATAAATATAGCGCATGCTTTAAACACTAATCCATATAGATACATATCAATCTTTACAAATCATTTTAGCACATTAATTTTTATATATACTATCGATTTAAATTAAAAAACCTGCTATATTTTATTAAGAGATACCATATCAAATGAAAAAAGAAAAAAGGACAAGAGATACAATGTCAAATGCAAAAAGAATAAAAGGGAAGGATATCGTATGTTGGCATGTTCTTGAGGAATCGGTGTTCAATCACAATCAGCTGTATGGAGTTGTTTCACGCGTTACAAATCGTAAGAGTTTGAAGATTTTAATATGTGGACATGACGATGAACCAAACAAAGAATGTTGTTTAATAATATATAAATCATTTTTCTATTCCAATAACTGTGTTTTATGTTTTGAACAATGATTCCATCATGCAAATCAAAATGCTTCCCTTAATTTTACTAGCTCGTGCATCGCACGGGTACCACACTAGTAATAAATGCAAGATAACCTGTACAAAATTAATTGCTGGGTTACACCAATTTCGCGCCAAGTCTTGGTAGGTCGACCGACTGAGAAGAGAAGCCACTTTGACTTGAGGACTGAACATAGGAAATGACTGCTGGAATAAGTCAATCTAGGCCAGGAGAGGACAACCCGGTGAGGGTAGAGAGACCTAAGCTACCGTTGAAGGCGATCTTCAGAATGACAGCAGGGACACTACTCCCTGCTGTAGGGACCTATACTGTAAGGCATAATTAATTTGTTTTTAAATTTATAATTTGTAGTCATAATATATTAATGTGTTGTGAACATTTACTGTATGAATCAAAGTTTATTTTTTATTTTATAAAATTAATTATATTTAAGAAAATCAAATTATTGAATCAACCGGGCTGATCGAATTAGGTTATTGCACATGTTTATTGAAAATTTCAGATCATTTGTAAAATCGTCAAAATATATGGCACAACTTTTGTTGCATCCGGGGTGGCTAAGTTATAAGTCAATTTGACCGGATCAAATCGATTATTGAAACTAAATATGAATCGCAATATTAAGCATACTTTGTTCCAATAAATAGAATACATAATTCAAGTAACTAAAGTAAAATACTTTCATGAGGAAGTGGTGATTAATGTTATTTATGTATTTAATTTACAATACAATCGTATTATTACTTCCCGTGCATCTCATATGCCATGTACTAGTTAATTCAATTGTGACACTATTAATCGTGGTGTAGAATAATTATGATTACTATTATTGTTATTATTATTATTATTATTAGTGGTTAGCTTGGAGAATAAGCTAGGGTTTATTTTGAGAGCCTTATTTAAAAGGCTCTTCTGCTTTGTTATGAGATGCTGAATTTTGAGAATGAATAAGATATTTGTGAGTTTTGTGTGTTTTACGAGTATCTCATTTATCCTTCTCATTCGTACGCTTCCCTACGTCAGTTGGTATTAGAAGTCAGCACGATTCACGATGATGTCGCGATGACAAGATGTTGCAAATGACAGGCGTGTGGCCGCCATCTACAACCTGAGCCGCCGGACCGAGTGGTTTGGCCGCCGGCTTGAGACAATGGGTCGTGAGATTGCAGATCTGTCCGCGGAGATCGGGGGCATACGTCTAACTATCCTTACCATGGTTCGGCACAAGCAAACGTACCGTGACGCCGGCAACAGTGGCGTGCGCGGGGGAATTCGCGGAGGACGTGGAGGCCGTGGTCCAAGCGGGGCGCCCTGCCGGAGATCTCCACATCCACCGTCCGACGACATAGACGGCGAGGAGACAATCTCGAAGGTGAACTCCTTCGGCGATTATCAACCTCCGCACGTCGAGGCTGAGCCTATTGCCGCGCACGACGGCCAAGATGTGCGGCACCACGGCGTAGTTTTTGAGGAAGATGACGACCAACAACGTGGAGATGGCGATGACCATCGATGGGAGGGCCCGTTTCGCGTGGACATCCCCAAATTCGACGGCGAGCCACATGACGAGCCATTGTACGATGGTCCGTCGATATTGGATGAGGAGCCTCCGGGGTCGGAGGATTTCAACGTGGAGTGTAATTCTCTTTACAGCACTAACAAAGACTGTGACCAACCTTTTGGGGGAGAGAGTGTGCATGCTAGGGGCGTAGGTCCTGCTCCAATCCCAGACGAAGATTTTTCACTTCACAAGTTGGTAGATGTAATTATTTGTATGCTACATCCTGAGGTTAAGCAAAGTGCCATTGAACTGGCAAAAGCAATGGAAAATGACGATGGTGTGATTCTGACACGTCATGACAAGTACTTTCAAGTTATTGACCATTCGGGTGGTGTTGAATTTTTCAGTTTTGTGATGCCTGAGGGTGTTTGGTTTGGAAGTAGGGGTCCTATGTTGTGTGGGTCGGCTAGAGTGGACGTTGGGAGATATTCAACCTTCGTGGTCGATAGGGGAAAACGTCGGACGATGATTGCCAGGGGTACAACTCCGGTGGCGGCACGTTTGGTGCGGCTTTGAAGGCGACCTGTCATGAGGATGTCTCCAACGAGAACGGGTCGAATTCGAGGGCGAATCCTGCTCAATCGGGGGAGAATGGTGTAGAATAATTATGATTACTATTACTATTATTATTACTATTATTATTATTATTATTATTATTAGTGGTTAGTTTGGAGAATAAGTTAGGGTTTATTTTGAGGGCCTTATTAAAAGGGTTCTTCTGCTTTGTTATGAGATGGTGAATTTTGAGAATGAATAAGATATTGTGAGTTTTTTGTGTTTTACGAGAGAGTATCTCGTTTATCCTTCTCATTCGTACGCTTCCCTACGTCAGATCACTAACATATGAGCATAGTAAATGCTCTAAAGTATGAATCATTTCAGCAGTATTTTAAAATGTGATCCCTTTTTTAGTTATTTCAAAATTATTAAAATGAGTTGAAACTCAATGGAAGGTTACCATTCACCTCTGCATATGAAATCAAGAAAATTTCCGAAGTGGGCATATGCCACTCAGCACTTTGTCTAAATATAGCGTGTGCCCAAACGCGTTAAAGACCTCCCAAAACTGAACACCCATAATATAGTTGGAAACTTTTAGGTATCCGCCTGCTGACTGCCTCTTTTAAAGTCAAGCTACTTGAATATAATTGACAAACTAAACATAGTGTACACATAACAATATTATGTAGTTTTATAGTTCACAGCTTCAAAATCAACACTCTAACTATACAATCTGTGTAATTTCTAAGACCAATCTCTAGCCCTTATCTCTACTCTAGCGCGGACTTTACTCTACTCTAGAGTAGAGTTGAGCATTCATCTCCAGCCCTTATCTCTACATTTTACTCTACATTAAATATATTATTTTTTTTATTTATTTATTATTTCAAATAAATTATTATATATGTATATTATTTTTCAGTTTTTAGTTCGGGTTCCTCTAAATAAATGCTCGAAACTTCGAATACTCGATAAATGGCTCGAATGGCATCGTGCCAATAAGATCTACTCGCCCCAACTCGTTTCTCAGCAAACCGAAATCTCACGTGACCTTGCGGGGCCGACGTGAACGGATTTTTATTGATTTTACTAATATGCACCCTCAAATTATAACTTCTCAAAATAAATGATCGGGGCCTCGAAATACGAAATAAATACCACGAACGACTTCTCCTCTTCTCATGCTTTCTAAAAAGCACTCTTGCTAATACTCGATCCGCTAAACGAGGGCCGACGGGGCAACCGAAGTTGCGACTTGAAATAAAGCTTATTTTGACCAAATTAAGAGAAAGTTGCAGCTGCAAATTGGTATATATGTATATTAATATTATATAAAATGTTTATTACCCAAATAAATAATAAATACAAAATTATTTAGCATAAAAAATGCATTGTACAAAGTTACTTAACATAAAAATACATTTATTAATACATATTATACAAAAATTTATCATTAATATTACATTAAAAAAAAAAAAAAAAC